AAATCAACAATTCTTTTTATGCAACTGTACAAGGCCTAGATATATATATATATATATATATATATATATATATATTGTAAATACATTTACTAATTTAGCAAGTTATTTAACTAATTCAACAATCCCCAACTTTGTTCTAATGTATTTTAGCTTTAAAATAAAAGTCACTCAATGGGACTTCAGTGCATTGTTAGTGTGTCTGGTGCAGAAAGACTGACCTTGTGATTGTAAGAATCGGCTACATAGAGGAGGCTGCTGCCCTCATCCCAGGACACTCCTAATGGATGCTGCAGTTTTGCATCTATGCCTTTACCATCAATGTCTCCAAACGCAAACAGGTTCTGCTCAAGCAAAAAGAAAACATAATCTTTAAAGGCCATGCATGATTTCTTGACCGCTTACCCATGCGAAAAACGTTACGCTTTGGTGCAAAGTTTTGAGAACGTATAAATGAGCCTGCCCTGTATATTTACTCAATCACAGCGCTGCGGTGGTCTAATGTTCAAAATAAGTCACTGAACATCACAAGGGAAGAAAAAAGAAGCTCATTAATTCCAGTGACCAAATATGGCGAAACCCAATCCATTCTCATTCTCTGCCAGAAGAAAACTCTGGAAATCTAGCAGATCTGAAAAATGTCTTGACTGCTCCAAGCAATGGAGAAAAATAGTTTCTCATTCAAATCGCCTAGGTTCATTAAGTGATAAAAATTGCTCCATGACTTTTATTAAACGTCTCCTTGCATTACAAATAAGCTTTGGGATCTTGTAGTGCCAAACAAACTTGTACAAAAAAGTGCTTTACACCGCATACAAATGTGGCATGTAATAAACTGTGATAATTTATGACCCCATAAAAATTCAAATCTCTCCATGTGGTGTGTTTTTCCACACACTCCTTCCCTTATAAAGCATGTGCGGGGAAGACAAAGTGCTCAGTAGAGAGAGAAATTATCTGATACTGATCAGAAGAAATAAAGGTCTGCTTGACCAAAGAGCAGAGTCCTCTCAAGAAGACATCTTTAAACACCTTCTTCCTTCCAACTTCTTTCTTGGTATCTGACTGGATTATAAATCATTGCATGAACCTGGCTAATAATGTATAAAGAACTTGCAAATAAATTGGACTCTATATAGGTTTATAAGCTTTAATTTACTTAAAAACAGCTTGTTTAAACTGACAACTTTTATAAACTTGTGCTACACTGAGCTTTTTACCCATAGTATTGTTGTTTTTGGGTGAAAAGTGACTTAAATAATATCAATGAAATTGCTAAAAAAATCTATATATAAATATTAGAAGAAAAAAACTAACTAATTAAAATGAGCTAAAATAAAACAAGTTGAAGCACTAAAGTTACAAAAGCTAAAACTTAAATAGAAATAAAAGAAATTAAATCTAATCGGTATCTAATCACTTTAATCAGTATTACGGGGTGCAAAACAACAAAAATGGGTGAAAAACACATATCTTTGACATGTTACAACTGTTCAGACCTGTAAACATGGCAGGCAGGGCTTACCAGAGGGTCTCTCTCTCCCCCCACCACATGTTTGACTGCTCCATCCTTCAGCGAAAGGCTACGAATGGTGCTGCTCTCACTGTCAGTGATAAAGAGACACTCCCAGGGCTCTGTCGGGGCAAGAGCCAGGCCTGACGGCTGGGCCAGACCCGCTTTATGAGGATACACGTTATTTCTGTTCTCCTCATTGCCACTGCCCGCAAAGCGCACACATGTTCCTTTTTTGCTGTCGCTGGAAAAGGCATTAGATAAAGATGGTTAAGTCTGATTAGAATGATTATATGGAACAGTTACTGCTCTTAATTTGGCTGACTCTAAAACAAAAGCCGGAATTGTGACAAAATAACTGCAATTTTGATCTAATAGCATGTAAGAGACCCCCCCAAAAAATCTCTGGCAAATGGTACCAAAAAGTCTTAAAATCATTATATTTATTAATTATTTCCTGAGATATTAAAGCTGTTATCAGTGCTCGCTACAGCTCTAAAAACGTCAAGAGAAATGTTACATTTGCGAACAGCACACCAAGTTAATTTTGTATCAGGACGATCAGAACGATTTCCGCCAACAGTGAACTGTGTGGCTGCCCAGAAAATGACATCACTTGGGCAGTGCCGTGGCCTCTTTACTTGAACCCTGCCTTGTCTGTACAGAACTGAGGAGAACACTGGGAGAAGAGCTCACCTCCCTTTGGGAAGCTTCCCGTCCTCCAGGAAGAGAGCCCAGATCTGATGCGTTCCTGCCATGGCTATCCACAAAACATCACCACCTGCATAAACATGTACACACGCTATCAAATAGTAAACAGCTTATATGTTTACAACATATTGATGTTGATTATCTTGCTAAAAATAACAGAACTAATTCTTAGTCGAGAACGCATGAAACGAGTAAACAAGTTGTCAACTTCTAACTCGCATAAACTTCATATCATATTTGATCCTTTTTGGCTGCATGGCGATCACTTTATTAGATCTCATCCATGCATGCAAGGTCATTCCACAATGTAAATGAGACATTGCTTATATTCATATCCAGTAACATATGGTATCTGATGTAGGTGTCTGACTCGACCACCTGTCCCACAAATGTGTCCCATTACAACAATAATAGCAAAAATTCCATATTATACTATAGAGAGAACCATTGGTCTGTGGAAAAGTAAAAATAAATAAATAAATAAAATACTTCAATAAATTTACTTCAATATTTCACCCTAGAAATAAGGAGCCTAAAGTTGATTACAGGACAAAAAAAAAAAAAAAAAAATATTTTTTTTTTTTTAATATTATTAAAAGAAAAAAAAAAAAAAAAAAAAAATATATTTTTATTTTTAATATGAATAATATGTAATATATTTATTATTTTGTTTTGTATATTGTTTATAATATTTTATAAGTATATAATAACAAATAATATTAAGTATAAATTAATAATAATAATAAATTTGATCTCTTTTCCTAAATGTATTTAGTTTGATTAAAAAATGTTTTCTAAAGGTTTAGATTTGCCTCCTTTCACTGACCCTTTATGGAAAAAAAACAATACAAAAGTGACCCTGTTGTTGTATTCCATTTGTGGAATGTGGCAAAAGACAAAGTACTGAAAGGCTTTAGAGCACTGAAAATATAAAAGTATCCTATGGTGTCCAGCACAGAGTAACCTGAACTGATGAATTTACATTACAAATCAGTTTAAGTACCGTGTGGAGGGGCACTAATACTTGAGAGCATTGTGCTGCGATTTCTCTTTGAGGAATCAAAAATGAGGTGTTTTGTACTTGTGTCTAACAATAGACCTCTAATGGTACTGCGCTTATCTGAGACAATTTCTTTGCTGGGCTGGAGCCTAACTACTCGCATTCATGAAAGAGCGAGACAGAGGGAAAGAAGAGTAAAGAAAACAGAGGGAGAAAGGGAGGGAGAAAAATTGAGATGGAGAGGAAGGGAGCAGAAATCTCCTCACGCAGGTTTTCAAAGGGATCTGAGATGGATGGAAGGTAAACGAGCCAAAGTAGATGAAATTTCTGATGAATGACAAAGACATCCTGCAGGATTTCCATATAACAATTAAACTTCAAAGGTGGAAAACGAGTGAAAGAAGGCAAATACAAACCAGACAGATGGTTAAGGAAATATGAATGATGAAGTGGAAAATGCAAATATTACAGTAGATATCGGACAAACGAATTTCAAGAAGCATGTTGTTCCTAGCATCTCATCCTACTTGAGCTCCAATTTTCTTTAAAACAAAATTATATAACGCCATAAAATCACACACACACACACACACACACACACACACACACACACACACACACACACACACACAATACAGACACACACACACACACACACACACACACACACACACACACACACAATACAGATATAGATAGAAAGATTCTTTACCTGTCTGTAAACACTATGGTATGAAACAATTCATGCAAAAATAGTAATAAATATCTACTGGTGTGTTTCCGAAAAACGTCATATGTTCTAACCCGGTTTACCATTTCGGATAGAATATGCATTATTGATGTGTAAATGTTAATTTATTCAACTTTCTGACTTCAGAAATCAAACGATCTGGAAAGAGCAGCATCTGTGGCTTCGTTAATAAATGCTCTTTTTTAACTGGAGGAAGATTTTATTTCAGAAGAAGAAATTCAGATTTTATGCCCACTTTAAATCAAACATTCAAAATGACTGTTGCACTAAATGACACAAGACAGGAAGACAAATGAAAGGAAAGAAATGGAAAAAAGAAAGAAAGGGAAATGAAATGGAATAAGAAAAGTAAAACGGCATCAGGGACAAAAGCAGATGCATAAAGGAACAGGATACAGCAATATCTTATTTTCTTAGCAGGAGAACCTGCAAGAAAGCAACCGACTGTTCAGGGAACAGACCTAATGCACAGAGGGGACCATCAATGAATGTGCTCCAAACACACGCTGACTAAATCAAACACACACTGCACAGACCACTTTAAACATCTCTCTCTCTCTCAGCTAATGCTGGCCACATCCATTTCTTTAGCTGTTTAATGGAGCGATATGACTGAATAATGTGTACCGATTAAATAATGCCTTCAAATATAAAGTAGGAATTTTAATTATGTTTTAGAAGCATGTTAAATTTAATTTTCTAGACCTGTGGGACATCTTGTCCAGGGCCGGTCTGTATAAAGATATTACTGTGAAACAAAAAGATGCAATCTTTGATGAAAACAGTTCGTTAGAGGCACCATTTATCAGAAACCACAGCCACATGAGTGCTTTCTGATCATATCACCTTCTATTTCTTTGGGGTTGTGGGTTTAACTCAGGCAACACCACAACATTCAGCTTTGTGTCTCTGGTTAGCAACTGACCGACCCTGCAATTTACTCCAGGCCCGCTTCCAAACAACAAGAGGCCATTTTAGCAGAACAAAGATCTTTTTGCACCCCTCACCTTACACACTTGTGAAAATCAAAGGCGAGTGTGGTATCTACAAAGCGAAGACTTCTGAGAACAACCTGATTAAAGATTCCAAGATGGACAAGACAGATAGAGGGAAGATGTCAGAGGGATGCATAAAATGCTCGCAGCAGAATAATGAAACGCAGATTCACAAGATATTAAATTTTATGAGCAAGGTAGAAAAAAAGAAAACAGAGTGATCCTAATTCTAAAGGAAGGAGCAGAGTGTACTAGAAGATGATGAATAGTAAAAGTACCTGCGTTGCCAAGGGTAACATCCCAGGGAGAGCTGATTGGCTGTTGTGGTCCCAGTGCACCGCCTTCTTTATCTGTACCTTGAACGCCAGTGCCGGCTAAGGTTGAGACTTTTCCTTCTGAAAGGTTGATCTAGAGAAGGGAAAAAAAGTCAGATTCTATTGAGCACAGACACAAGCGGTTTTTCAAGCACCAATCAGAGTGAATTTGGGTTAGAGTTGCCAGCAGGAGAAGTAGCTTGACCTGATTCTGCTGATTTACCTTTCTAACAAGGTGGTTCTCAGTGTCAGCCACGTAGACCGTGTCTCCCTTTATAAACACCCCTTGTGGGGAGCTGAACTGTGCCTCAAACAAATTTCCATCTCGTCTCCCACTTGAGGGACCTATAAAGGCAAAGATAAACCAGTCTAAATGTAGACTAAAATAGCCTCAAAACATTCACCAAAAAGAAAATTAGCAGATTTTCTATACTTAATATATAGGGCAGTTGGCAACCCTAATTTTATGGAACCATCCTGCAAGGGAACAGAACTGCATTTCAAGGACGGATGCAATTTGCCCCTTATTTTAGGGTGTAACATCCAAACAGCTACAAATAACATACTTCATTCCAGCAAAGACATTCTCTCTTGCAAAAAAAAAAAAAAAAAATTCTAGTTATTCATTCTATTTTGTTCAATAATTAATAAAATTACATACATTTAACCCTAACCCTATTTATCACATTACTAGTTTTATTAATTAAATTACATGGCAAACAAATAAAATGTATACATTTTAATTGAAATAATATTAATATATAAATAACAATTTTAATGATTTGAAAGAAGTCTCTTATGCTCACCATGACTATTTATTTGATGAAAAATACCATAAAAACAGCAATATTATGAAATATTATTGCAATCTGAAATAACTGTTTGCTATTTTAAAATATTTTAAAATGTAATTTATTCCTGGGATGGCAAAGCTGAATTTTCAGAAGCCACTGCTCTAGTCCTCAGTCACATGATCCTTCAAAAATCATTCTTACATGCTGATTTATTGCTCAAGTAACATTTCTTATTATTATCAATATTGAAAACAATTGAGCTGTTTAATATTTTGTGGGAACTTTTTTTTTTCTTACATTTTTGTAACAATATAAATATATTTTACTGTCACTTTTGATCAATTTAAAGGGGTCATATGATGCTGCTAAAAAGAACATTATTTTGTGTATTTGGTGTAATGAAATGTGTTTATGCGGTTTAAAGTTAAAAAAACACATTATTTTCCACATACTGTACATTATTGTTTCTCCTCTATGCCCCGCCTTTTTGAAACGCGTCGATTTTTACAAAGCTCATCGGTCT